CAAGCTGCATGAACAGAGAAGTTCCTTTGTTCAGGACCTCGCCCTATGCATCTCTTCATCTGGCTGTTGATTCTTTCCTTTAATATCCTTTGTAATAAATCAGTAATCTAGTGAGTAAATGGATTTTCAGTCCTGTGAGCCATTCTAGCAAATTAATCAAACCAAAGGACAGGGTCAAGGGAACCTCCACTTTGTAGCTGGTAGGTCACAAGCACCTGGGCTTCTGACTGGCCTCTGAAGTGGAGGGCAGTCTTGCGGGACTGAGCCCTTTACCTGTGGAATCTGATTCTATCTCCAGATAAATAGTAGCAGAATTGAGTTGAATTCTCAGACACCTTGCTGGCATCCAAGAACTGCCTGTTGGTATTGGGAAGCCTCCATATACACACACTGGAACTGGGTCCAAGAACCCTTTGCAATATATTTAGCTATAGACAGGACTGGAGCACTGATACCTTCCTCAAGGGATGAACCTTAAAAATATTATGCTAAGTAAAAGACGACAGTCACAAAAGGCCCCAAGTTGTATGATTCCATGAAATGTCCAGAACAGATAAATCTATAAAAACAGAGAGTAGACCAGAGGTAGTAAGGGACTAGGGAGGAAAGGAAATGAAGAGTGACATATTAATATAGGTATGGGGCTTCTTTCTGGGTTGATGAAAATATGTTAACATTAGACAGTGGTAATGGTTGTACAATTCTGTGAATATACTAAAAACCACTAAGTTGTATTCTTTAAGGGTAGACTGTATCTCCATAAAGCTACTACCGAAAGAGTGAATCTGAAACAATGCATATTTTAACATGCATCAGATTTTTAAAATAAGCCTAAACTTGTCTTCTGAAAATTATTACCTATTTCTGTTTTTGAAGAAAAATTTCACTTAGTGTGTGTGGTCACAACAAACTTTAAAATACTAGTTGAAATTATTTAACAAAATAAAACAGTAAGTTTCAGATTTTCAAGTTAACAAGATTATCTTCTTAAAAACTACTAGTATTTGTTTTATTTAATAACTCGATTTTCTGATGGTCTAAAATAGTCTAAAAGTATATATGTTAAATATATAGAGACAGATGCTGAGGATAGATATAGTCCTTATCCTCAAATATCTTATAGAGAAATTATCTAAGCAGTATGTATTCTCTAAAATGGAAGTATATCTGCTTTATAAACAATAATATATGTCAGAAAGGCTGTACTATCTGTAGGGGAAAAAGTTGTTATATTAGTCTTTCGCTTAACCATCGCTAAGGATAGAACAATATGGGGGCCAGCCGGGTGGTGTGGTTAAGTTCCCACACTCAACCCAGTGGCCCGGGGTTCTTGGGTTTGGATCCGAGGCACTGACGTAGGCACTGCTTATCAAACTATGCTGTGGTGGCGTCCCACATACAAAAAAAAATAGAGGAAGACTGCTACAGATGTTAGCTCAGCAACAAGCCTCCACAAGCAAAAAGAGGGAGATTGGCAATAGACGTTAGCTCAGGGTCAATCTTCCTTACCCCCCCCAAAAAAAATCGACACAATATAAACATTTCCTAATATAAAGTCCTTAGAACAGCTCCTGGAACATATAAGCACTTATTAACTATTAGCCATAATAATTAGCCATAATATCACTGATACAATAATATTTTTGATGAAAAGAGCATAAAAAAGAAAATATTTACCTCAGTTATCCTGGTTTCACTTAACTACTTGACAACTCCATTTCCATATTACAATTATCACTGTCAGCTTCAATAACTACATTAATTCTAAATTACTGAATTATTTACATTAAAGCAGTAGTTCTCAAAGTGTGGTATGGGCAGCATGGGAATGCCAGAGACCCTTTCGGGGGGGGTGTGAGATCCAAATTATAAGTGAAGTAAAAGATGAATTCAAAGTGCAAACACACTGGACAACCTTTAGTGCAACACTGTACAAACAGTATACAGACATGGCTTGAGATTCCACACTGCAACTAACCTTTAAGAAATTACCACTTGTTGAGTTTTGTTGTAGCATCAAAGAAGAATATCACAATTATCTCAAAAGGTTATTAAAGTACTCCTCCCAACATATAGGTGTGAAGCTGGATTTTCTTCATATACTTCAACCAGAACAACATATAACAACAGACTGAATGCAGAAGCTCAGAGAAGAATCCAGCTGTCTCCTATCAGACCAAACATTAAAGAGATTTACAAAACGTAAAACAGCCACCCTTCTTTCACTAATTTTTTATCTTTTGGAAAATAGTTGTTTTTCATAAAAAAATGAAATAAATACTTGTATTAACCTATAATTAGTTTATTAGCTATTTTTTAACGAATTAAGTGTTCAAATTTATTTCAAATACAATAACTATCAACAGATATAATCAATATAAACAAAAGCTATCTAGAGTCCCACATTAAGCGTGTAAAGTGATCCTAGCCAAAAAGTTTGAGAACCACTACATTAAAGTAATAATACCCCATTTTTATTTATATTCAGAGTTGTTATCTCTGTGAATCTCACATACGCAACCATAAATGTTTAAAGTAAGATGAACAGAGCTGACGACACGAATCTTGCTTTCTTCAGATGTACTGTAATGCAATCAGGTGTAAGATATAGCCCCCTCAAGAAAGAAACGACAGGATTTTCAAGTTAGAATGATCTATTTACCAAAAGTAACTACAGTAGTATAATATAGCTGTAATGCAAAACCTGTGCAGAAATAGAGCCAAAGAACTTTCACTGTGCCAAGAAAAAAGATGCACAGAAAAACATAAAAGTCTGGGCTTCTGAAGACTTAACTGTCCTTAAGTGAATTATCTATGGTAACAATTTTACTGGAGTTACACAACTACCATGTAAACTTCTGATCACCTTCAGTAGAGGTTATTCAAAGAACTCTATGTGTAATATAAATTTGTTAATAAAAGTCATGAAAAAATATTTAATTATTAAAAAAATCCATTACTTCAGCAGCTGGCCCCATGGCTGAGTGGTTAAGTTCGTGTGCTCCGCTTTAGCCGCCCAGGGTTTCGCTGGTTTGGATTCCCGGCACGGACCTAACACCACTCATCCAGCCATGCTGAGGCAGCGTTTCACACAGCAGAACTAGACAGACCTACAAGTAGAATATACAACTATGTACTGGAAGGCTTTGGGGAGAAGAAGGAAAAAAAAGACTGGCAACAGGCATTAGCTCAGGTGACAATCTTTTAAAAAAACAAAGTTTAGTCTTAAAAAAAATCCATTACTTTGAACTGTACAATACTAGTCACCCTCATTATTAGAATAAACACAATCAGCTTTGTGCTGTAATGAATTACCAAGCTGAAAAGGGCCATCCAGCAAAGGGGGTCAATGGCATTCACTAATTAGGGTCCTTTTTCAGTTCTTCTGGAAGCATAATTTATCAATTTACATGCCTAGCACAAAACCTTGTATGGGGCTGATGTTAAAAAAATTACTTGTTCACTACAGAATTATAATACTGATCCATGAGAAATGATAGCGTATTTTCCTCAGCCAGGAAAGTATAAGGTAGACAGAAGCTCATAAGCCAGGGCAAGTTTTGTTCTAAGAAGGGTACTTCCCGAGTCACACATCTGACCTAAGGGACATACACTGCATTCTGCCTAAAAGCGGGACGTGTCTGATAGTTTTCTCATTTCCTCACATGCCCCAGGCTGAATCTGCAGATTCCAAATTAAGCACTTTTTAAGCAGTTTCATCCTACCCTCATACCTAATTCCATGGTGAGAATTTTTTAACTTTCTCAATTTAAAAAAGTTCCATTGGTTCTGGTGCCCTGTGTAAAGCAGAAACTAAGGACCTAATCAGAAGAGAGCCTGAACACAGCATAGTTTAGTGCAACCAGAATGTTTTAAACTGAAATCCGTGTTTTACCCAGTTTTTAAAAAATTAATGTTTAGGAGGAAAAACAAAACCCACCCACATGCTACTATTCCACTAAGTAGCATTCATTTATTGATTTCCGCAAAGGCTATTTACTAAAATATCATTTGATAACACTATTTAAATACTTTGTGCTGCAATTACTTCCTGCTGAAAGAATTCCATTTCAGCTATCCAAAGACTACAGAAAGGAAGGTTCACAGCACTTCTCAAATCTCAACGATTTAACTCCTTCCCCTTCCCAGCTGCACCCCCCTCTCGGAAAATACTGTACATGCTCGGTTTTCAGAACTCAACATTCAGAGGTGGAGGAGGGATGGGGAGGTTGGGGGTGTGGGGATGGGGGAGTTCTCTAATTTTTGGACCTGCTATCCCCTTCTGCCTGAGTAAAACAAGCCCCTGTAGTAGAATGAATATTGATAAACATCGAGGACCCAATTTCCTTCTGCTCGCATCTCTGTCTCTATAAACTTCACTATGGCCCTCCATGCACCCACTTCTACTCCAGAGCAGCCCTACCCGTGCCCAGACACCCCTGTCCAACCCGAATTGCTCTACGAACTTGCACCTGGGCCACTGCTGCCCTCCCAGTCTAAAGACCGTGAAACCAGGATGCCCATCTCCGGCCTGCAGACCGCAGAGGCCTCAGGGTTCGGGCCGGGTCAGCGAGCGGCGGCGGGGACAGGGCAGCCAGCCGCAGGCCCGCAGCTCCGCGCCGGCTGCTGGGGCTGCTCCGGAGAAACGCTGGCGCGGAGAGACGCCGGGGGCGGGGACAGGGTCGGGGCGACCTGCCGGCCGGCGCCGACAGAGCTCCAGGAGCCGCAATGGCTGCAAGCTCCCTCCGGGCTCTGCAAGCCCTCGCGGCCGCCCCGGGAGCCCCGGCCTGACCCGGTCCCGGATCGTGGCCCCGGCATTACCTCTGACCGCCTGGCAAGCAGCGGCAGGTGATGCGGCGACTGGGCAGCTGAGACGCGCAGGCTGGCTACCTCCCACTCCTCCCAGGGGCGCCAGGAACCCGGGCCACAGAAGGAGGAAGAGGCGCGCGAGGCAACGACACTGAGGGTGGGACAGGAAGGGGGAGAGGCGTCCTGCTCACCGGAGAGGCTGCCAAAGGGAGGCGAGGACGCAGGCGGCGCGACGGCAGGCGGCGGGGGCGCTCGGGACTCTCGCGTACCTTCCTCACTCCTGGCGGAGGATCCAACGCGGGCCAGCAGAACGCCTCACATCCGGGTATCAGGAGACACTCAGCTGCTTCTGCCGCGACCGCCCCCTCTCCCGCGGCGCAGAAACGCCAAACTTCCGGCGACGACGGCGACGCCTCGCCCGTCAGATGGGAGTTACCTGTGGCCGTCTTGGGCGCGCTTGCGCAACGCTCCTCTTCGGCCCTAACCGGCTCAGCTGACGTGCCCAGAAGACGAAGATGGCCGCCACGCTCGCTGCCTGTCACGCAGTGTTTCATCCGGGTCGGGACGGCTGGCGTCGGGGAAAAGAGAGCCTGCGTCCATCCTCGGCGCAGGCGCGGTGGAAAGCCTCGCGTGCGCGCCCCGCGGGTGGGCGCCTAGCGGGGAAGCAGCGGCGCCCCCTAGCGGCGGCCTCTTGCTCTTCCAGGGGTCGTCTCTTGGAGTAACGCCACCCACGGCCCCAGCGGTGGTGGTTTGTCGTGGCAACTGGTCGCCCCGGCTTCCTCGGTTGGTTGCGGGTACCGCTCTCTGCGACCTCTAGTTCAAATCCCTTTAGTCTTTGACATGGGCCAATGTAAAGAAAAATGGAGGCAATTGGCCCTTCTCTCTCCTTCCCCTGCACTGCACTCCAGCGCCTCCAAAAAATGCAGGACTTCACCTTCTCCATGCGTGCTTTCCTTCTTGTGCACCAGACTACAAGAGTCGGCAAGAAATCATAGATTGTTCCACTAGATTTTGTCATGGCGGTATTCAGACGAAGCTTTGGCTCTTCGAAGCCTCTAAAGATGGAATCCAGTGTTATATCACCAGGATTCGTGGCCCCCACACTGCTTTTGAAAGCTTTCTATGCTACTCTTAGTTGTGCAACTGTGAGGATGGATAAATCGCTGCTCCTACTTTTGAGAATCTGAAGAGAGGTGATCATAGGTAGGTTCTCCCCTTCCTAACCTCGTTTTTTGAAGTCAAGCACAACCAAAATATACAGTTTGTTAAGCCTGATATTTTTCTGCCTTCCACAAAACTTTATTGAGCTGCTTTGTCACTTTAGTCTGGAGAGATTCTATGGTTCAAAAAACAAAATGGGTGAGGCCGTTGCCCACGTCACCATACATTATGTTACTTAGCAAAAGCCTGTCTACCGCCCCCACCCCGACCCCCAGTCCCTGATTTAGGTATATATTTTAATGACATAATGCCAAATGGCTTAGTTCGGAAAAAAGTCAGGAGTACACTGCTGACCTGGTTAAAGCTGGTTATCTACAAGAGTATTTGACCTATATTTTCCTTCACCTTTAGATTGTCAGACAACTGATGGGATTTCTTTTGGTGTGTAAACCACTTTATCTTTAGTTACTTAAATTCTGGTATACACGCACACAAACCATATTTACAAGTTTCCATTCCCACAAAATAGGCCTCTGCTTCTGAGTGATGTATTCCATTATAGTTGTATTGGCCACAATCAGGAGCATAGTAATCCTTACAAATGTCGCACCATATTAAATATATTAAATATGTATAATAAATATAGATATAAAATATAAATATAATTAATTTTAATAGCCACATTTAGACATTGTTTTTAATCCAGGGGCTCATTAATATCATCGTGGATTTTGTTTTTTTTTAAATTCTCTCCTAAGACTGGTTCTTGATTCTAAGGGAGTTCCCAATAACTCCAGAGGCTACCACCCTCCCTTCACATCCAAAGGGGAAGAGTATTCCCTGCAAAGGAATGATCGAATCAGTTTACATCCCAGGCCCACTGTGGATGAGTAATGGAATGTGATGATTGACAGTTAAGAGTAGAGTTAGCTTCCTTAGGGCCACAGGGATCACCAGAAGACTGTTAGGAACTGTTGGGAAGAGAGGGGGATAGATATGAGAAGACAACACACAAATGTCCATTACAGTCTCTCTACTCAAATTGTGGTCCATGGACTAGGGGCATCTTTATCAACTAAAGCCTTATTAGAAATGCAGAATTTCAGACCCCACACCAACTGAATAAGAATTTTCATTCTAAAGTTTCCTCCAGGTGAGTCCTATGCATATTAAAGTTTGATGAGCATTGCCTTACAACACTCAAGAGTTATTTTGATCAGAGGTGAAGTCTTGGCTGGAGATAAAAATTAAAGCCATGGTTTTGGATATCACCTAGGCTACAGGCAAAAGTATCTATAAGGAGACTATACCCGGGAAAGTCCCAGAGCACTCCAACATGTAATGGCTCAGTGGAGGATGAGGCAGCCAAGGAGACTTAGAAAAAGTAACTAGTGGGATAGGAATAAAACCAGGTGTGCTTGGCAACCTGGAAGCCAAGAGAGGAGGGTGTTTCAAAAGGGGAGTGTTTCTGTTGAATGTTTCTGAGATGCAGAGTAAGATGAGGACAGAAGTTTGCCTTGGAGGTTTTGATGACCTTTAGAAAAGCAATTGCAGTGTAGTTTGAAGAGTGAATTGGAGGTGATAAAACAATTATAGACAGCTCATTCATGAAGTTTCTCTGTGCTAGAAATCTGGCGGTAGCTGGAGCTGCAGCAGAGAACTTTGTTTTGTTTCTAGGATAAATCTGTTTGCTGATGGAAAAAATCCAACAGAGAAGGAGAAATTGATGATTCAAGTTAGAAGGGGGTAACTGAAGGAGTGAAATTCTTGAGAAAATGAGAGATGGGATCCAGACTACAAGGAAAAGGAATTTACCCTTGAAAGAAGCAACAATACTTCCACCCTTGTAGTAGGAAAGAAAGCAGAAGGATGGCTTCTGTTTTCTGAAAGAAGTAGAAAACATTAGCAGAGAGTGATTTGGGAGAGGGCCTGTAAAAGGTTTCAGAAGGAGGAAAGAAGTAAGATGTGAAAAAGTCTGTGAGCTTATTACAGAAGCATAGCAGTCTGGAGGCAGTAGCTATTTGAGGTTTGTGGTTGGGATTTAAAGTAAAAATAATCAGCTTAATCGTGTGATTTTCTTCAGGTACATTGAGCAATGCTAAAGTTCCTGGTGTTGGAGCAGAATTAGCATAATCCTTGGGGCTTCTCTCAGAACTTCCCTTCGTTCAGTGATATATTTAGTGCTACATAACACATGACGCCCTGTCGTGCCGAAGGGCGACGGCGACAGGCCTGCTAGTTGGATTTAATCTCCTCAAAGCTCCCTCTTGCATGACATTTCCTCCGAGACTAGCTCTAAGGCCCTCAGCCGTCGCAGGGCACACCTCCGGGCGCCAGGGTGCGCTGCGGCGCTCCTCGCGCCGGAAGGGAGTGCGGCCCGGCCCGCCTCGGCGTTTCCGCCGTCGCCGCAGCGCGCCGCGCGCCCTTTGCGTCGGAGCCCCGGCAGGAGGCGCTTCCGGCCATTCATACTTCCCGGCCTTCGGCGCTCCCTTGTCGGGTTCTCTGCACTCTAGGACCGAAAGGGCGACTGCACCGGTAGGATGAAGCTCGTGAGGTGAGGAGGTGACCAAGTGGGGTGGGGGCCCTGAAGGGCCGGTTTGGACCGGGAGCCGGAGCTGGGCTGCGCTAGTTGCAGGAGGCGCGAAAGCCGCGTGCGCGCGCGGCCTGCTAACGTTAGGCCTCCGGCGCCCGCCGCTCCCGCCCCATCTTGGCCGCGGGCGCTCGGGCGTGGGCTTCGGACTGGATCGCGCGGGGATACCGCGTGTCTTCCAACAGGGGACGTGAGGCCGAGCCGTTTCTCCCCTCCTCGTAGCTTAGAGGCCTTAAAGGTGCAGCGCCAGGCTTACAGACTCGGTTAGCTACCGATTTTCCTGTCGAGTAGAACTCGTGCTCTGGTTAGGTTGCTTTTCTGGCTCATTTCGGCTCGCGGAACCGGCAAATGTAACTAGGTCCACGCTCCTTGGGAACGTGGGAGACGAAAAAAAGAAAAATTGAATGCCCCTGCCAAAGTAGTTTAAGTTGATCCGCTTTGGGTGATGAAACTAACCTCCCACGTAAAAAGAGTACTTAGAAGATGCAGAGGTTGATCTGGAAATACCAAAAGCCGTTTCCGAAATGTGTCAAATCGGAGATGGACTTCTGACTTAATAAGTTGATTTTTTTCCCAGCTTTATTGAGATTTAGTGGAATTTTTTAGAAAGCAGAGTCCCTGCCTTATTGGAACTTTATGTTTTGTGAAGACAATTAGTTTGCAGTATGTTTGAAATAACATATAAAACCCTGAATATTGTATTCAGGGTGTACTTTGTGGAGAAAGCATTTAAGGTTAATTTTTAGTCCGTTTTTATTTGAGCTAAAACTTTTGGAGAAAAAGTGTAAAGTACATTTTCCCAATACCTGCCAGTCTGAATTTATTTATAGTTTCATATATTTATAATTTTTTCCATTTGGAATCATGCAGTATGCATTCTTGTGTGAAGTTTCTTGTACTCGGCATATTTTTGAGATTCATCCACATTGTGGCGTGTATCAGTAATTTGTTCCTTTTTATTAGTGAAAAGTAATCCATTGTATGTTTAAAAGTTATGTGTTTTGTTTAAAACTGTTTTGAACATTCTTGTGCAAGTCTTTTTTTTTCTTTTTCATTTGTCTTGGGTAAATATTTAGGAGTGGAGTTGCTGGATTGTAGCATAGGTGTACGTTTAGTTTGATAAGAAACTACCAGACCGTTTTCCAAAGTGGTACCATTTTATACTTCCACCAACAGTATACTAGAATTCAACTTGGTCTGCACCATTACGAGCATTTGTTGTCGGTCTGTTTCATTTAGCGCTTGTGTAGTGGTGTCCCATGGTTTTAATTTACGTTTTTCTAATAACAAATGGCACTGAGCACTTTTTCACCTGCTTGTTGGCCATTCATATATCTTTGTGAAGTGTCCTATTTTCATAGTGTTTTTATTAGTGAGTTGTAGGAATTCTTTATATATCCTGGATACTAGTCCTTTGTCAGATATAGTTTCTCCCGGCTTGTGGTTTGCTTGTTCGTTTCCTTAATGGGTAATGTCTTTTGGTAAGTAAAAGTTTATTTTGAGGAAGTCTTGATTTGCCAGCTTTTTCTTTTATGGTTATTGCTTTCTACATACTGTCAAAGAAACCTTTGCCTACTCTCAAACTATGAAGATAATTCTCTGTTTTCTTCTAAAAGCTTTATAATTTGAGCTTTTAAGTTTAGGTGTGATCTGTCTTGAATTAATTTTGGTAAGTGGTGTGAGTTAGAGGTCCAGGTTCATTTTTTCTATGTGAATTTTTAATTATTCCATGTTGTTATGAATTGCATCACTTTTTGAAAAGGCTTTCCTTTGCCTGTTGGACTACTTTGGCACCTTTGTAGAAAATCAACTATATAGCTGTAGGTCTGTTTCTGGACTCTGTTCTGTTTCATTGCTCTGTTGTTCCTGGGTCTTGGTTACTGTAACTTTAACCTATGTACTATTCTAGCCACCTAATTTGTCTCCCCAGAGATTGTCTTTTGTCCATCAAAAATATGTCTTTCTGAACATCTGCCTCAGGTTCTCTTTAACATGTGAATATGATGTGACCCTGGCACTCCACTTCATTGATGAAAACCCTTCAGTAGCTCTCCTAGAATTCTTTAACAGAGAATTCTCCTTGGGGCTCTCCTTGAAAGGAAG